CCCACCCACCCACCCCCCCAATCAGGGAGGCTTTGGCCCTGGGTTCCCACACTAGCAAGGAGTTGGAGTGGGTGATCCTTGGGCTCCCAGCTAGGTCACCGTTCCACGAGTGCCCTCCTTGCCTGGGACCGGGACTTCAGAACTGGGGAGCCCTGTTGAATGCTCACCATCGGGAAAAGGCCACAAAAGACTTCAGGCCTTGGAAATATGTGAGCAGGAAACACACCGATACCTCGCAAAGCAGGAGGAGGAGGAGGAAGAGGGAGGGAGGGAGGGAGGGAGGAAGGAAGGAGCATTTGCTTTATGAGTTTTTGAAAAACTGCTTTGTGATACCTCGCAAAGAAGGAGGAGGAGGAGGAAGAGGGAGGGAGGGAGGGAGGGAGGAAGGAAGGAGCATTTGCTTTATGAGTTTTTGAAAAACTGCTTTGGGCCCACCTAGTTCTTGTGCCAAACTGAAAAAGGCTCTTCTACAACCTTGGCCAAGCTACTGGATGTCAGAGGTGGCTCTGAAGGCCAGCTGGGACCCAGAGGTAAGTATCTTCCCCGCATAGACACAAATGTTCTGCTAGGGTAAAAGGAAAAAGAAACAAGGCTCTGAGTACTTCATTGTTGAGTCCTTAAGTCGTGTCAGACTCTTCGTGACCCCGTGGACCAGAGCACGGCAGGCCCTCCTGTCTTCCACTGCCTCCCGGAGTTGGGTCAAATTCATATCACTTTGGTGACCCTGTCCAACCATCTCATCCTCTGTCGTCCCCTTCTCCTCTTGCCTTCACACTTTCCCAACATTAAGGTCTTTTCCAGGGAGTCTTCTCTTCTCATGAGATGGCCAAAGTATTGGAACCTCAGCTTCAGGATCTGTCCTTCCAGGGAGCACTCAGGGTTGGTTTCCTTCAGAATGGATCGGTTTGTTCTCCTTGCAGTCCAGGGGACTCTCAAGAGCCTCCTCCAGCACCACAATTCAAAAGCATCAGTTCTTTGGTGGCCAGCTCTCACTTCCATACATCACTACTGGAAAAACCATAGCTTTGACTATGTGGACCTTTGTTGGCAAGGTGATGTCTCTGCTTTTTAAGATGCTGTCTAGTTTTGTCATCCCTTTCCTCCCAAGAGTATTCTGAGTACTAACTAATGTGAAATGTCTGCCCCTCTGGGTCTTGGAATTTCCCATGCATTACATCGGGGGGGGGGACGGTTTTTGAAAAAAAAGGGCATCCTTGAAGAATTAAATCTGTGGGACCCCAAAGGCTGAGGCCGAACACTTATCCTGCAGGCTTGCAGAACACAAGGTACAGTCACAGAGCCCCAAACCTAGACCGACATCATCAAAGATGCAAGTCAGAACCGAAAGAAAGAAAAAACTGCAGAAAGCTAAATGCTCCACTGTATCTTAATGCTACGTATAATTCAATATCTAAAACTAAAACATGGAAAACCCAAGGACTACAACACTCTTTTTAAAAGAAATAAGCAACTCCCCCTCTGTTTCAAGATAAGAATGGATCTAATGTGTGGCAAGTAATAATGACAGCTGACAGAATCATCTCCATCCTTCAGCCTTCTTTGTTGGCAGAGGAACAGCCAATACAGATGCCAGAATTTGGAGCTGAATCAGACCCTCTGTGCTTAAATAAATCTTGTCCAGGTCTTAAAACAAAATCAGGCTGCTGCAGAGCCTCCACTACAGACCCATCCAATCAGGAGTTCCACTTCATGCAAAATCTCTTGCTCCCCGAGTCTCAGCCAATGGGAATCTTGAGCAAGGGCAACATCAAATAATTAAGATGAGGAGTTAACCGTATGTTGTTATACACAGAAAATCATAATGCATTTTGTATTACTGTACTTTGTCCTGGATCGTTCTCTCTGGATTAAAAAAACAATTAATTCCTATCAGCGGTTGCTTTCCTTCATTGCTTGGCCAGTTTGCAACCAGCAACCCAAAGACCAGATCCGAGAAAAAGGAAGAGTGGTCAGAGTCAGATTTTAAAGGGGGGCTGGCTCTTACCCGCCGGGTCGGTCATCCTCGGATTGAATACAGGAGCCCAAGCTCACTCTATAGAGACGCGATCTCAAATCATTTGTTGACAGAGCAGGAAAGCGAGAGGAAGGGGGAAGGAGGGAAGAGTGTACGTATCGATAGCCACGTTGCAAGGCAAGGTAGAGAAACGAGAAGAGGCAGAGCGAACAAAACAAGCAAGGAAGAGAACACCGAGATAAGTGAAAGCCAAAAGGGACTCTGTGGCCAAAGTCTGGAGCGCCTCCCTGAGCCTCTGGGCTCCTTTGGTGCCGCCTCTGGCCTCGTGCACGTCGCTGGGCACTCAACAGCCTCTGTGGAGGCTCAGAAAGTACCTGTTTCTGTGCAGAGGCCCCGATGTGGACCTGGCAGAATTTGACCGCCTGCTCCAGCGCCGCCTCCTCGTCCACCTGCAGGGAAGACCCACGTCATCAGCTGAAGGCAGCCCCACACACCCCGGCACTCCCCCACCCTTAATCCCTGCCCCAGAGGCAAGAAACTCGCCCTCTCCCGACGATGACATCAGCCTGGCTGGGCTGAACGTCAGGCTGGGAATCCGGACGAGAGCAGGGGCAGGTCAAGATTTCACACCCGTGTTGTGCTGCTTTTGAGGGACTTACTGTTTCATTCTTCCCCTCGTTATTTGGGATACATTTTCCCTGGTTCAGCCTGGGAGCTGCCCTCAAAGCCTCTTGAGTAGGGCAGGAATATCATTTAGCTCAGACGAGCACCACCTGCCCCCCCACCTCCGCTCTGCCCCCGACCATGGAGGAATAAAGCCCGGGTGGAAGCAGAAGGCCAGAGTCCCTTTTAATCTCTCAAGAATCATCCTACAGGGCAAGCGTAGGGCATCTGCCCAGAACTGAGAAACCAGGAAATCCACCCTGTCCCTCGTGACCAGCCACGGACAGGGCCGTCCATCAACTCTCCTTTTCTACCGCTACGGCATGCACCAGGCTATCCTGACACGACGGCTCATCATGCCCTAATTTCACGAAGCAGATGCTTTCAGAGATGGTGACCCACATTTCCAGATGCTGCAGCCCAAAATCGCTGATGCCCAGCACAACGCGCTCCTCCCTCTTCGGCTGCCAGATTCTTTATGGCTTCGGCTGCCCCAGCTGCCCCATGGCCATTTCCCTTTCCACCTGAAGGTGCCGATCCTCCGTCTTACCTGCTTTATGAGCATATAGGTCTGGGACATTATCTTCTCAATCTTGCCCAGGTCGTAGGTCATGACCTTCTGACCCTGCTGCCAGACTCGGTAGGCATCCAGAAGCAGGGTCTTGCCGGACTCCGTGTCCTGCAGCAGCTTCCTTTTCCGGTTCGGCCTCTGGCTGATCTCCTCCGTTGTGGGAGATGCCTGGAGCCAGACCTTCACAGCT